AAGTCCATGGTCATGATTTTTAATAATGAGAGAGCCTTGGCATGTAGTTCAAAAACAATCACACTAATCAGGAATAAATGCAGAAAGGTACCAGCATCACTCTCCTTCCTTTTCTTGGGGAAAGAAAATACTGGGAAGTGGGAGTCCTTTCAATCCCCACCCTGAGTCCATGGCCTGACATCACTGCCCAGGTGGCACCGATGACCTCAGAGGCCTTGGGTCTGGCCAAGCCTGCAATGGTGCCCTGTCTTGGGTTGTCATTCATTCTTATTTGGGCAAGAGTTGGCACAAGTCTTGTCCAGACTCTCAAGGACAATTTTGGGTCTGTTTTTTGTATAATTACAGGGTGAGCAGTAGGGTAGACTATGCCAGTACAGTGGTGAATACACCTGGAGGACAGGCTCCGCTGTTCCAGGACTCCCACTGGGGTTGGTTCAAGGGGCACATCTCCCACCTCAGTGATGCCTCCCTCATGAGCATCTGGGCCTTGGTGAGTTGTGGGTATAGAAGCATTCTTTTCTCCTGGGATGGAATGCATTTCATCCTTGAACTTTGGTTTTTATAGTCATGGTTGTTTGCCAACTCTTGTGATTGGTTCACGTTGGTTAAAATATGGGGTGTATTGGGTGGGGGAGGAGTAGCTCCTGCATTCAACTTTGGCTTTTATCCCATCCCTACTCTTGAACAAGGGCACAGATCCCTGAGGCATCAGCTGTCTGCCTTGAGGTACAGAAGCCCCAGGTTAAGTATATTTTTCCCCAGCTTTATTGAGATATAATTGACATATGTGTTAGTTTAAGGTGTACAATGTGATGATTCATGTACATGTAAAATGATTACCACAGTGAGGTTCGTTGACACACATCACCTCACAGAGTTCCCATTTTGTTGTTGTTGCAACCATTTAAGTCTGCGTTGTGGTGAGAACTTTTAAGTTCTACTCTCTTAGCAACTTTCAAGTGTAGGATACAGTCCCAGTCTTATCTGCTGAGGGGATAAAGCCAGGGTTGAAAATGGGGCAGAGGGGATAATAGATGAACTGAGGCTGTTGGTTGGTTATTTTGGTTAAAAGTTTAGCCAGATTATCACTGATCAGACACTAGCTGTAGCATGTAGATAGAGGTGCTATGTTGCAGAGAAGGACGACGCTTCATGGACTGAAATAGACACATACGTATGAGAAGAGATCTTAAGCTGGGAAAGGACTGATCCACAGAGTGCTGATGGTAAGGCAAAAAATTAGTAGTTTTATCTACATTAAATCAAGGTTGTCTAACTTGCATATATGCAGAAACTACCGATTTCTTAAAAACACATTCCCAGAGATTCTAATGCAATAGGTAAATTGTATAAATTTACAAAGAAATAAATGATATCTAAAAAGGGGTAATAAATGCTCACTATGCACTATAGCTTAATGATTTTACTACAGTTTACTATCATCTGTGTTCTTGAGGCTATTTGTATCTATTGTATCCATATTTGGGTAATACTATGTAATGCTGTGCTAATGTGCATCTTTTCCCAATTCATGTTGGCCTTGAAATCAGCTGTGTTGGGAGTATTTACACCAGGGAAATTGGCAAAGGCCACAAATCAATACCCTTCCTCCTCTTTTTTAGAGACCTGGCTGTTACACATTTATCAGCCCTTCATTGGAAATGGTCCTTAAAGAAACCAGGAGTGGTATCAGTAGTGAGGAAAATCAAAGCATGAACTATCTGAAGGGCAGAGAAAACTTTTATTTATCACAGAGTACAGCAGGGGTGAAGCTGTGGCAACTTGACTCAATTTTTTTGCAGCAAGATGCTCTCCAGATTCCTTCAAAGCCTAGCCTAGATGGTTGCAGCCAAAAGCAGAAGTGGTGGGAAGCAAATTTGGGGAAGGTTGCCAATTCCATGCTGAACTGGAACGTGAACCAATGTCTCTTGTTGAGATGATATTAGTCAATGGTGCCATCTAGTGTTGAAGTACAGATTGGCTCCAAAAAGGGATGCTTAGAGGAAGCTTTCTCTTGAGTTAGGCCTTGGAAACACACTAACAGTTTCCTCTATTATTTTCTTTTTCTACTTCATTTCCCTACTTCTGGAGTCATTTTCTACCCACTCCTCCAAGAATAGCCACTGGTTTTTTCTTGTTGTTATTGTTTTTTTTAAAGATATGAATTCTGTGTGGTTTCCAAGCAAAAGAGAGAAATGCCAAGAGTTGAAAGGTAAAGATACAGAAATCAGCACTTTCCTGTATTATGTATAATTTGAAATGAATTTGCGTAGGGAAGTTGTAGAGATCTTCTCTTGTAGCAGATGCTTCTCTGCTTTTCCAGCATGTCCCAGATATCCTTCCTATTTCCTGTGACAGGGGCACATGAAGTCATCACAGCATGTTTTAGCGTAACAAAGAACCCAAATTCATTCTTAAGTCTTTCTGCTTCATAGATTTTTTTTTGTAGAAAATAGTAGAAGGAAAGTCCTGTTCATGACTTCCAAGTGAATAGGATCTTACATTCTTTTATGAGAATGTGTGTTAGTAAGTCTTTTATTTGAAGTGAAGGTAATTGTTTATGATTAAGTTCTCAAAGCTGGAGAGTCCTCCAGAAACTAGAGTAAGATTCTGGGATTGTTAATTCCCAGTGGAAAGGTTGACTGCATCATGAGCATTGGAGAAAGCACTATGGTAGTCCCTCAATGAATATTACTTCCTTTCTTCCCCTTTGGTGATTGATGACCTGTGAAAAATGAAAGAACATTTAACTAATTAGTGGACTCAAAGCTGTTGTTCCACCCTGACAGTTTTTATCTTTTCACTAAGGATAACTGACCTGTAAGTTTGGGACTCTTTCAGATGTTAGTTATCAAACAGAATACCAGTAAGAAATCAATGCTATCCTGTCTGTAATGTGTGTAGCTGGAGCAGCCTGAACTGTCGCTGTGAAACCTTTCAAAATGGAAGGAAGGGAATGTCACAACTCTAGATATGAAGTCTGAAAATGGGATCAGACTTTACCCAGGATACTTTTTCAGTGTTCAAAGAACAACAAAAGTAGTTTAGAAATCTCACCTTGAGACTGCTAAGCTGTGTGAACACATGACTTTATTTTAGGTGAGGGCCATGTGTTTTGCAGTCAAATCAGCTGCTATTTATATAAGCAAGCCTTCATCAACAGTCTTATAAAGCTCACCCTCTTACTTAGGATGGCAGCAATTTTGCCTCAGAAAATGAGCCTACATGACTCTAGAGGCTACAGACACTTTTTGTTAGAAGGAGGAATTGAAGATCCTGTTAGTAAGGTAAAAGTCAATTTTGTCCATATGCAGGTCCAACTGTTAAATATAACAAGGCCTGGGTATTCCCATGTTCTTACATGTTCAATAGACATTCCAATTTATCAAACAGTGACAACTTAAAAGCCTGTGACATTGTCCTATTAGACCCTGGGAAAGCTTTTTAAATGATCATTCTTCTAAAGGTGGATCTGATCCTGTGTAGTCTTGAGTTGCCCCCACCCCACCCCCACCCTACATAAAGGACTCACTCTTTGGGATAACTTTCTCCTTGCCCCTGCTTGGCCCCAGGGCCGTGGCATCTCTCCTCTTTGCTGCCTACCCTGAAGAAATGTTCCCTTTCTCACACCAGTCTGTTCTAAACATGGCAACAAAATCTCAAAAACTTTAACACACTCTTGTCATTTTAAATGCATCATCTCAAGCTTTGAACTATGTATTTCAAATTTCTTTTACTTAGATGTACTGGGAACAACCATCTGATGTTTGACTGCCACAACAGACAAAAAACTTCTCTAGTTTTCTTCCCTTTGCTATTTCTTTTTATCTCAGCATATTAATGAACTTTGAAGTGACCACTGACCTGGGTAGTTCTATTTCTGTCAGATAAAAATCAACCCCCAAATTTCCACTAACTCGTTCTTTGGCAGGCAGGTCTGTCGATTAAAAATGGATGCTTCTGGCAACTTTGAGGCATTGTAACATTAAGAAGTGGTTTATGAGATTCCACTAACTTCATTTTAGTGCTATTTTATTCTTAAATAGTTGAACACCGATAGTCCATGTAGTACATTAGAGAACTCTTAGAGAGGTTCTAACTACTCAAAAAAGGAAGTTAGTATCCAAGTGACAGCTATTACGTCAAATGATTAAGTACCTTTATTTACTTTGGGAAGCTTTGTTCCATCCTACTGACCTTGTCGTTTGATGTACCTACTGCAATAGTAAGTAAATGTGTCCCTTATGAAAACTTAAGAAAGACTGCTCTAGGGACTTCACCAGTGAGGAATCTGAGGTATGAACTATGACCCAGGTCTTCTGGGCTCAGTTGGGAACTCTCATTACAGCTCTATTTTTAAAAGAATGAGATTCTCTTTTTCATAAAGGATCCATTCTAAAATTCTTTCAGGCAGCTTCAAGGATTAAAAACTGTCAATTAAAAACTGTCTTTGTTGCTTCTGAAAATAATGGATCACCACTCCCAGAGTTAAAAACGACCAGAACACAGACTTAAAAACCAAGCCATTTAATTGTGTCTTTGAAGGTAAACAATATCTTGATCCCAAGCCCCGAGAATGCCAGAGCTACGGGTCTGAGAAGTCCCGTGGGGCAATATTCTCAGAGTCCTGAGGGTCAGACCTCAAAGTGTTCCAAGGCAGAGCACTTATGGAATTCATGCATTCCATTCTGCAATTTTGCAGACTGCCAGAAACAGACCCCAAGAGTCTCTTGAGACGGGAAAAATTCAACTCCTGGTCTCACAGATAAAAGTAGGGGGAGTACGCTTACTTCTCTTCACTTTTCTCACACAGTCTGAAACCTGAGCTATCACCTCCCCAACGCACAGTAGCCGAAGCTGCAGTTTAGGTTCGAGATCAGTCCCTCTATCCAGAGAGCTCTCATCAATACAGCTTTTTAACAAGCACTTTAAAGAACCCTCTGGCGGCACAATGAGTTAGTTTACAAGATTTTAATTTACAAATTAAAAAGCTACAGGTTTTATTTTTTCTCCTTTTTCTCTTCTTTCTTTACATCACTCTTTTCCTTCTCTTTCTCTTTGTCATCTTTTCTATCCTTTTTGCTGTCTTCCTTTTCTTGCCCTTCTTTCTTTTCTGCGTCCCGGTTGGCAATCTTGTTGTTGATGAGGTTGTGCAAGGCGACCACAGAACGGATCAGTGAGGCCAAATATACCACCACCATCTGATCGTTGGTCTTCAGGTAAAAGGCCTTGACAAATTCCTGCAGGCTGACATCTGGCAGCAGGTTGAAGACATCCTGCAGCTGGTAGATGATCTGGTGGTTGATGGGCAGCTTGCCAGTGGCCACCTTCTCCAGGTAGCCCCTGATGTCCAGGAGCTTGGAGTTGAGTCCCTTCAGACCATGGACCTGGTTTGTGATCCGCTGGGAGAGAGTGCCCACTGTAGTGTCTTTGATGTCTCTGTAGGAACCCACAAGAAAGAGCAAAGGTATCCATCAGTGTCCTATACCATCACACAGATTTTCTCATTCTAAGGGAATAACTCAGTTTGTGAGGAGGGGCAAGTTTTCTAAAGCAAAAATGTTACTTCTCTGTTTGATAAAGATTTGAGTATAAAGTGCCTTAACCTTGTTTTCATTTGGAAGCATATGTTTTATCTTTCTCATCACATGACATCTTTCAAAAGGAGAGCTAAAATGAAATCATGTTCACTAAAAATTAAAAAAAAATCCCCCTCTACTTCAATTTCTCTTTTTCCTAAAGAGGGTAGCATTCTTTTCACCTGCATCTATAAGATGTTTTGAGATGCTTTTAAATCAGTCAGTACCAACTTTCTGAACTGAAACGAATCTTATTGAGAAAATCTATGACCTTTCAAATAAGTCAGGGTTCTGTAAGTATTTTTCTTTTTTAATATTTGGCCATGCCGGGTCTTAATTGTGGCACTCTGGATCTTTAGTTGCAGCATGTAGGATCTAGTTATCTGAGCAGGGATCAAATTCGGGCCCCCTGCATTGTGAGCGTGGAGTCTTAGCTACTGGACTAAGGAAGTCCCTTACAGTGTAAAAGGCCTTGATGCAGATTCCCTGCAGAAAACTGGCTAGCTACATTCATTGAAAAGGAGGTACACTTAAAGAACACACACTTGCTTTTAACATGCATCTGTTCCTGTCACAGCCAGCATTGTAGTTTCCAGACAAGGTGCGCTATCCAGAGTCATAAATCCTAACTCAGGACATTTCATAGATGATCCAGGACTACAGCCCAGGTCTCTGGACTCTTGATATGGATCTTTTCCTTACACTAAGCAGCCTCTTGGGCAGCTTCTGATTCTGATGCCATCCTAAAGTCTCACCGTAACAAGTGTTCAACTCCGACTTCCTCGGCTTCCTCAGCTCCAATTTCACTGGTCACATGCTCAAATGTTTTTGAGGTTGGAGTTCCATCCTGGGAGAGGAGACTTAATTATAGTTATTTACTTACAACAAAAGAACAAACTAGCACTTGCTTCTTTTCACACCTTGATGCTTCTGCTTTAAGTCAGATCACTTGAGGGATGTTATTACTGGGTTTTCTGTGGCAAGGGTGGATAAAGTTTGCTTTGAAAGCTATCACAGCAGTCCTACTCAGGGTTGAGGTGTACTGGGGCATCATCCTTAGCTTATTTCTGAGGAAAACCTTGGTATTATCTTGTCTTTAGTAGAGATGGACATTCAGAGAAGTCTCAATTCAGCTAAATTTTAAGGTTTGTCACAGTTCAATCTAAAATAGGCCATACTCTCAACATTGTGCCTGAGACAAGTTTATGTTAGAGAATGTAACTTTGAACCATCTACTGTCCATTGGGTCAAATGATCAGTGCACCAAATAACGTGGTGAGCATCACTGATTTTCTGGTGGCCTGAATTAATCAAGGAACCCATTAGTAGATGTGGTTTGCTGTATTACCTACTGATTTCTTGATGGGACTCAGGAGGAACTTTTCTCAGATCCAGTGCCAGAAGAGGCAGTGCATCTCCTGTAAAGGCTGTGAATTGTTTGCAAGCAGGAGTGCACTGCAGTGCGTGCACAGGATGTAGGCAGATGGCTTAGATGCAAAGCCTGGCTCGGCCGTGTGTGTGCTAAGGGAGCTGTGAGCTCTTGGGAGAGTCACTTCACTTACACTAAGTGGTATAAACATCAGCTGTTGTTATTTTATCCAGGATAGTGTGAATCCTGAAAATGACATTTTCCTCTTGGCTTGGTATGCTAGGATGGTCGAAGCCTTCCAACACCTGTGCAGGACTTCATGGCATGTCTTTTCAGGTACTGATTTTTTCCCTGGCTTCATTGTATACTATGACCCTCACATCCCCTCTATCTTCTATTAAAAAAATCCTGTTTCAATGGGGGGTGTGTGTGTGTGCATGCATATGCATGTGTGTGTGCAAGCAGCCTCAAACTCCTTTTTGAAAGAGGCAAGGTAAAATTGAACTTGTAACAACTGTATCAAGACCAGGGAGGAAAGCTTTACTGCAACTATGCAACAGATCTGGATCTAAGTTCTCTAGTAGTAAGGCAAAGAGAAACGGACACAGAGCTCAGGGCAAGGAACATCTGCAGGAAGCTAAGTTAAAAAAACCTTTTCCAGATTTTAAAATTGGATAACTATAAGAAGAAAGACAATATTTACTCTATATCTCTCCGACTTCTGACTTTGGAAATTCAAGATTGAGCTCTTTGTATACCCTAAATGCAAATACTTTATGCTCAAAACAAAACTCATATAGTTTCCACAACAAATCTTATCCTAGAATCTGCATTCAATTCTGTTTCCTGGAAATAGAGAAAAGCTATTTTGGCAGCTTATCCTGTCCATACTCAAGGCACAAGCTAGCAAGACCACATAGCAGGTACTGAATACAATGGAGCCAACTATATAGGTGTCAAATTGTACAGATGGGTTTTGCCATCTAGCTCCAGGCAGTTCTGACTTACTCTACTTGAAAACCTAGTAACTTCCAGGAGAAGACTGTCATAGGTGGGCCAACAGTGGAAATGGGACTAGATTAAGATGAAGCTCACCAGGCTCTGCATTTACTCTGCTGAGAATATCTCTGGGTGATAATTTGACTACTTTGGTCTCAATTTCATTTGTAAAAGGAGATTTTAGATTGCTATGGTCCCCTCCATTTCGAAAATTTGGTGACTCAAACACTCAAGGGGGAAAAAACATAATATCAAACTGTTGACAGAAATCAATAACCTTTTGTTATAAAGTATTTGTTGACTTGAAATGGGGGAAAAACCCAATGGCCCAAAAGTAGCAATTCTAAATAGGCTCATAACAAGATGACTTACATCATGAACTTCTTCCACCGAAATATATGCTTCTGTGGGCAGTCCCAGGTCCTTTGGCTTCACATCAATGATGACCAATACCTGGCAGAAAAACACATCTTAGCAAACCACCTTGTACTAAGCACATAGGGAATAACTGCAGCCATTCTGAAAAATGATTACTGAAGCTTTTTCATTCATTTAACCAGATGAGCCAGAATTTTCAGGAAAAAAAAAAAGACTTTACATTTCAAATTTCTTATCATTTGCTCTGCTCTTCAACCCCATCCATTAACAAGGTGAAAGGTAGACAGTGAGGAAGGAATCAAGCAGAAGGAAATTAAGAGTCAAGACAGCCAGCGTTTTAATCCTAGCTGCACCCTCAGAAGACCTTACTAACCATTTTGAACCTCAATTTTCTCATTTGTAAAAAAGGATAACAATCCCATACAGTTGAGAGGATTAAGGAAGGTAACTTACATACTTAGCACTGAGCAGATGTTTAATTTATTAAATACATTGGGTTATTGTATACTACAAAAAGCACTGCAAATTAACACAAGTTTATAGAGAAAAAGTGGTGAAATGATTCACTATCCACTAGGAGGCTCTTCTTCTTGTTTCTGGCAAACAATTATCAGTCAAGGGTTTTAAAGATAAAATGCACTTACTGAGTTAGGGCAGTATCTTTTCATGAGTTCATTGATGGCGATGTCATTCTTGTGTAGTTTAGGGCCTGTGTGGTACCACCCAACTATTCTTTCTCTGGCTATGAAGGAAAAAAATAGTGGCTTTCAACTGTTACATAAAGATCTATATATTTCCCTCAAAAAGGGTAAGAACTTCAGTAGTTATGTTCTCTACCTTTTCAAAAATTCCAGACATCCAAACCTTGACATGCTTATGAACTCTTAAATTCAAAAGCAGGAATCTCTGAAAATAAACAGCAGGAGAAATCTAGAGATAGCTATATCTCAGACTAGTTTAGGAAACCAGTCATACATGAAGCAACTAGAAAACAATTCCAAGGGAATATATAAACAAATGCAAGTTCATCTCACATAGATTACAACAGTGAGAGCTGTGGGAATAAACATTTCCAAAGCAATGTGGCTGCTGTAATGAAATGAAAATGATACACATGAAAGAGATATTTACCTTGGTGGTACTAAAGCTCTAGAGGCATGTGGATTTTATTTGATAACTTTTTGCTTTTCTGCTGCAGAGGGCTCTCTCCCCTGAAACCTAGGTGGTCTAGCTGGCCTTAAATTGCTACGCCAGTTTCTCATTTATTCTACCTCATTTGTCTACTACCATTGGCCTTACTTTAGTCTAGCTAAGTGAAAGGGTCTTTGACATTAGACAAACAAAAGTGAATACTTATAAAAGGTATTAGGGACACACAGGTACATTTACATTACCACCCCTCACACACATATACCCGTGCTACAATGCCACCTACCGTTGACCTTCTTAAACATTCCATACATGTTTTCCAAGTAATCATGGTCTAAAAACCAGACAGAATCATCTTTGTCGTCTTCATCAAAAGGAACTAGAGAGGAGGAAAAAAACCCCCAAAACAGTTTAGGGTGCTAGACAGAACTCGAAGGGCACATACCACAACTGGGGACCTCTAGGCCAGATGTGACCCATGTCTTTAGCTTGTCCAATACAGTATTAAAAGTATTTTTGAGTTGTTTTTATTAAAAACTGGAAGATTTCACATACAAATCTAGACCTCCAGGCTCTCTTGAAAAATTGGAAGACCTGGCAATAACTGGCTATTGCCATACAGAGGTCACCTCCATTGAAAAGGATACATGTTCTTCAGTTTGCTAAAAGCGCCATCATTTCCTAGTATTTCTGTTGGGCAAATTGCATTACTGCCTGATCCTTTTAGACACTAGAGTTAGTGACCTCTAGTCTAGTAGCTATGCCAGCAATTATTTTGTTGTTCATTATTGTTGCTTTAATCATAAAATACACAGATACATTCTTCTGAACATTCGCAAAACAGAGTGAAAAGAAGGTTTTTACCTCCCCCTTGCCTACCCATGCTGCCGCTGCTGCTGCTAAGTCGCTTCAGTCGTGTCCGACTCTGTGCGACCCCATAGACGGCAGCCCACCAGGCTCCGCCATCCCTGGGATTCTCCAGGCAAGAACACTGGAGTAGGTTGCCATTTCCTTCTCCAATGCATGAAAGTGAAAAGTAAAAGTGAAGTCGCTCAGTCGTGTCCAACTCTTAGCGTAACCACGGTTAATAGTTTAGTGCAGGGGTTGACAAACTATACCCACTGCCTATTTTAATAGTTTTATGCAATATGGCTATTAGTTTGTCTACCTACTGTTTTTAGTTGCTTTCCTGCTACACTGGCAGAGCTAAGCAGTTGCAATGGAGACCACATGGCCTGAAAATACTTAAAAATATTTACTATCTACTTCTGTGTGTAGCCTTTAGCCTCCCTGTTGCAATAAAAAAAATGGAGACAACGAAATTTTCTTTCTTTTTAAAAGTTAACTGACATTTTAATCACTCAGAAAATGTAAAATTTGTCTATTATAAAAAAAACAACTGAGGTATAATTGACAGATTTTTCTTTTACCTGCAAAACTGTTGGATACATCGAGTACTTTCTTTTGCCACGACCCCAAAAGCACACCAACAACACGTTTTTGGTTTCCAACCTTGCCTATTCTGAATGAGAAAACAAAAGATCAATCTGGATAGGCACAGACTCAACAAGAAGATACCTAAAACGAAATACCAATGCACCGATACAATTCAGCTTAGCTGGGAACTGACCCCACTAAACAAATGTAGTTAGTCTTAAAACAAACAAACAAACAAACAACCCTCAAACCTTATAGAAATTTAAAATGGAGAAAATGAAAACTCCCCAGATCTTACAGTTTTAAATGTTATCTGGTTGGTGTTTGAAAACACATTTAACTTTTTATTTTGATAAGAGCTTACCTTTCTTTCTTAAACTTTCTCTATGTTCTCTAGCCTCCAACCTTCTCAGGGATAAAGATGCTAAAGTTGAACCAGTGTTACGATCCAGGTTGCCAACTGTTCTCTGAAACAAGCCCAACTAGATGGCGTACACAATTCTGTGTGTTATCTGGGGGCTGAGAAAATTGTGCTGACCCAGGAGTGTGTGTATGTCATTGGTCATCTCTCTGAATGGCTAAATGAGGCAGAAGCTGGAACTGAGCTGGTGACTAATCAGCTGGGAGGAGGGCTCAGTGAACGAGAAAAATTTCTCCAAATTTCTATCTCCAAACCAAACCCCCTTAGTAATTCTGTGCTAAGGAACGACAAGTGTTTCACTTATTTCATTGGTTTTTATGTAGACTTCTCCTTTAACCACTAACAAATGTGACATAACAAACAATTCTATGTTCAAAGGACAGACAAAAGTCATTGTGAAATGAACCACAATTTCTTAACAGTTGGTGGTTCACACCAATTGAACTGTACTTATCTAAACACATGATTTGGCAAACTTATAAATGCTTACTATGTCTAGGGCTTGGATCAGAATTAAGTATTCTGCATTCTGATTTTTTGGGGAAATCTAAGTTCAAAGGAAATTTCCACACATGGGCTTTTCTTCTAATCTACAAAAATGCATTTGTGTTTCAGAAAACCCTACAATTGTCTGATACAGCAGCTTAAAAATGTTTGTTTAATTGACTGAACAGAACTGAAATGATTCCTGCCTTCTTAGCACTTCTAGTATCCTATGGGAGAAAAACAGTAATTGTACAGTGGAAAAGCTCAGGTATCTTGTTAGGCTAAGGGTCCTACAAAGAAATGGAACTAAACTGAGGACCCTAAACCTCACAGGAGTCTTTGAGTTTGGTTTTGGCTCTGGTTGAATTGGGAGTTGTATAAAGCAAGAGAACGGGCACTTAGCAACAGTGACTTTATAGCAGATGCTCCCAACTGGGTCTTACAACTTTCCAATTCAAGTAACTACTGTAAAACTTATGAACACGTGTAACAGGTCCCGCGAGAAGAAGAGCTCGAAAACAAGCAAGCGAAGGCAGAAGAAACATCTGTGGGATGTTTTCTTATTCATTAACGCCTACATCTCCAACTGGTCTCATTTTTACAAGAAAAACTTGACTTTAAGACTTAATATAGCTACGTTTTAAGCTATCGTCAAACCAGATTCCCACTCCTGAAACTTCCACAAGTTAAAAGCACAGTTCTTGCCAGGGAGCCCTTCGGGACCAGACTTTCGGTGACAGCCTTCAGAGCCAAAAAGCGCGAGTCTGAAGGGCTTTCCTACCAGACATCGAGTCTCTTAGGCGAAAAGGGACGGACGAGGCGATAGATGGGCAGGAGGACTGGAGATCAGGATCAAATGAAACCTGCTCCCCATACCCTGGCATCGTACGGAGTGGGTAAAGGGAATGATCAGCTCAGCTCCCGGGAGTGCCGGCTGGGCAGAAGACTCCGGGTAACTTGGGCTTCATGAATGGACTTAATCTGGGCCCCTCGGCGACTCAAGGCCACCCCCGGTGCGTCAGCACCCCCGCGGCCGCCGCGCCGTACCCAGCGCGCCCGTGACTCAGCAGCGGCGGCGCCACCGGCCCCGGCAGGCCGCCCCGTGCCGCCCGCTCACCGATTGAAATGATCCACCACACTGAGCAGCACCAGGGGGTGGACCACCACCTTCTGCACCGCCAGCTCCAGCATCGCGACACACCCCGCCCACCAGGCCCGGCTCCCCGCGACCAGCAAACACCGGCAGCCGGAGCGGCAGTAACTCTCGGCTATCCTCCAGGCCTGGCTCCTCCTCTTCCGGCTGAGCCGCCGCCGCGCGACTCCTTCTTCCGCTCCCAGAGTGCCCCACGCGTCGGACTGGTAGTGTCCCTCCTGCTCCAGCCTTGAGGAGGGGAAGTGCTGGGGAAGGCGGGACCTGGCTCGGGTGACAGGCTAAGAATTTCCCAGGTCATGAAAGCTAATAGCTCACTAGAGACTGAAAAAGGTTGACCTCCCGGTGTTTGCCCTGTACTGTCACCGCTGTGACTTTTCACCTCAGAATCTTCTTAGCTCCCCTCCCCTCCCCCACCCGAAGACGAGAAAATGCTGAGGAAAAAATGTAAATAGTAGTGTTTCCATCATTCAGAAAATGTTCACTTTCAATTCTAGTCAAAATCCTCCAGAATTTCTTAGAGGTTGTTATTATTCAGTCGCTCTGTCGTGTGCGACTCTTTGCGACCCCATGGACTGCAGCACACCTGCCTTGTCCTTAAAAGGAGCTTCTTAGAGGAACTAGCTTTGAATTTCTAGCATTAGGGCATTCCCTTAAAATAGGTTTGGTAATTTATCTCATTATTATTTTATTGTCGGAGAATTTCCTCTTAATCTTTGCTGTGGACTCTTAGCTAATAGTCAACCTGGCTATGTTTTCCCATCTGTCTTTATATTACTTACCATTTAACAAGAGCTATAAGAATGAAAACTTATAAAAAGATTGACCAAAAAAGCTGGAAAGCCGTAAGGGAATATGTTTTCATATTTAGCTGGAAAAGAGAAAACAGACTAAAAGAGGAAATGTAGGAAAAGAAGGTTTAAGCTTATTTGTGGAAGGAGGCAAACTTAAAATCCATACAAGTCTAGTTTTCTGTCAACTTTTTTTTTTTTTTTAGTTTTCTGTCAACTTTTTAAGTTGCTGTTTCTGTAAGCAAAAATAGTACTTCAACAACGTGAATTATTTATTGTTTGTCCTGTTTCGAGGGCTTCCCTGGTGGCTCAGTTGGTAAAGAATCGCCTGCAATGTGGGAGACCTGGGTTCCATCCCTGGGGTTGAGAAGATCCCCTGGAGAAGGGAACGGGCTACCCACTCCAGTATTCTGGCCTGGAGAATTCAATGGACGGTGTAGTTCATGGGGTCGCAAAGTGTGGGACACTACACAGCAACTGAATAATAACAACCTGGTTTTAAGCACTTTCCAAATTACCTGTAACACCAGAGAACCTGACCTCTCTGAAGAATGACCAGGAGACTTTTGTTCTGAACTTTAGCTTTCTTCCAGTATAATCAGGAAGCTTTTGATAGTCTTTTTTTAATTTTTAAAATTGGAGGATAATTGATTGCAAACTTTTGCTATTCTTTCTGGGCCCTGCCTCTCACTTTCATTTCATGTACTGTTCCAACTTTTGGGAACACTGTTTTGGATTTTCCTCATTTCTTTTAATAGTTTTGATTTGACTGTTAGATAATTGCTGCTACTTCTTAAGAATTTAAATAATAGAAATTTTAAATTAAGGAAATTTAAGTCAGTTCCATTGTGTGATGTGTTAAAGCTTGCTGGTGTTTAGTGCCTTGTTCAAAGTAGATGTTCTTGTTTCATCTTTTATATGATGCTATTCAACATGGGGTAGACATGTAACTGTTACAAAAAGATCTTGGAAGGGTTTTTCCCCTTAATTTTTTAAGATCAAAGGTTGATTTTAATTTTTCTTATGTGTCAGGTTAGGCATAAGAATTGAAGTCTAAAAGAAACATGTTTTTGGACTAAATTATTTAAAGGATATAAAGAAGACAGCTTGAAACCATAAGTAAGGTATTTTTCATGTCCTATTTTTTTCTTTTTCTTTTTTAATGAAACTGACTTGAAATATTAATTGATTTTGTACCCACTAGGGGCTAAATTCATCCAGAGGAATGTAGAAGAAGACATAAGAAATCTACTTTCTTTTGTTCATTTAATTGTAGACTTCACTTTAAGAGGCTCTGATGAGAGCATAAGTGTAGTACATTTTATTTTCGTTTAACTGTTTTTGTATATTTTTTAAAGAGATGTAATTTTTAAAATTTTATTTATTTTTATTGACGTATAGTTGGCATATTAGTTACAGGTGTATGATATAGTGATTCACAATTTATAAAGGTTATACTCCATTTATAGTTAATATAAAATATTGGCTATATTCCCTGTGTGTATAGTATAGTTTTGTAGCCTATTTTATAATAATAGTTTGTGCCTTTTAATCCCTTACCCCATGTCTTTCTTTTTTAGTGTTAAGTTCATTTCTCAAATTTATTGAGATGTAATTGATATGTAACATGTAAGTATAAGGTGTCCAATATGATGATTTGATACATGTTTATATTGCAAAATGATTACCACAATAAGGTTAGTTAACACTTGCATCATTTTACATAATCACCATTTTCTTTTTGTGATAAGAACATTTAAGAGCAACTTCAAATATATAATAACTATAGTTATTATTAACTATAGTATTAACTATAGTATTATTAACTATAGTCACCATACTGTACCTTAGATCTCCACTTCTCCATTTTATAATTGGGAGTTTGTACCCTTTGACCAACAACTCACATTTCCCCCACTGCCAGCCTCTGGCAACAACTAACTATTCTACTCTATTTCTGTGGATTCCAGTTTTTTCAGTTCTGCATATAAGAGAGATCATATAGTATTTGTCTTTCTATGTGACATTTCACTTAGTATTAATACTCTCAAGATCCATCCATTTTGTTACAAATGGCAGGATTTCCTTCTTTTTTACAGCTGAGTATATATACACCACATTTTCTTTATTGACACTTAGGTTGTATCCATGTCTTGGCCATTGTGAATAATACTACATTGAACATGGGGGTTCAGACATCTCTTTGAGATAGTAATTTCATTTCCTTTGAAAGTGGGGTTGCTGGATCATATGGTGGTTCTATTTGTAGTTTTTTTTTTTTTAAGGAACTTTCATACTCTTTTCCATAGTGGATATATCAATTTACATTCCCACTAAGAGTACACAAGGGTTCCCCTTTCTCCATATCCTCACTAATGCTTCTTATCTCCTGTCTTTTTGATAATAGCCATTCTAACAGGCATAAGGCGATATCTCATTATGGTTTTGATTTGCATTTCCCTGATGATTAATGGTGATGAGCATCTTTTCATGTACCTGTTGGTCATTTGTATGTCTTTTAAAAAAATCTCTATTCAGGTCCTCTGCCCATTTTAAATTGGATTAGGTACTGTAATCCCTTATCTGACGTTCTTAGTGCTTGTGAAGTTATTTTTGCATGTGGATGGTTGTTCCAATTGATGTTTCCAGGAGAGGATGAGTGCTAGAAATTCCTATGCCACTATCTCATTCAATCTGTCACTTATTTCACCTTTGTCTTTCAATCTAGGGAGATAACTCCCAGAGACCTTAGTATCTTGAAAGAGTTCTTATTTTTGTCATGTCCAGAACATGGAATAATAGTCCTGCGAGCATGGCAGCAATACTTTGAACTCTGCAGCCTCTGTATCTTATTAGATTTGGAAGAAAAAGATAGAAGATATGCCACCTTTAGTCTAAGCTGTATTCATTGCTGGAGATCACACATCCTGCAGGGGTGCTGAAAGTTTACCATTTTCTTTGGTGGTGTCCTGTTTCCCTGATTCCTTGTGTTCCCTATAGCCATGCACATGCATTTGAAGAAGCAGTCACCTCTTCGAGACTTTCTGGACTGACTTCAGAAAAAAATAAACACCTTCACTTGTGAGTGCAGTCTAGAGTGTGCTATGGCTGTGGCTCTAGTGGTGCGGGGTGTTAATTGTGGGTGTGAGTAGAACCTCAGGGTTCAAGGGTGTGTGACTTGTTGGCTCAGGTATGGGTCCACCACATTGATAATGCATGATTCTTGGGGAGACCTGTGAGGGATCTGCAGTAGCTGCAAGGACTGTTGAGGTACTCAGTGGTGCCTTTAGGTTTCTGGTGCCTAGGTTCCGGTTCAGGTAGCAGTGGTGGTCAGAATCTGGTGGTGTGCACATGCTTGGCAGTAGGGGCCAGCTGCAGGTTCCTGTGTGGGGGCTGGGGCCTGATGTAGACACACACACAGTGATGAGAGACAGGGCCAGCAGCAGAGGTTGGAGCCAGCTGCGGGTTCATGAGTAGCCAAGAGGACCCTGGCTGCTAGTATAGACCCATGTGACTGCATTGGTTAATTGTAGGTGTGTGTTCTAACTAGACCATTCTTAATTGCTAGTAATGGTACCCTACTCTAATCAGCTGAAGCAAAGGGAAATTCATTATCTCATGTAACAAGCACATTCAAGGGCCCTGCTTGTTCCAGGGGTTCAGTTTCTCCACCTTTTAGCATCTTTCAGTGTTTTGGTTGCATTCAGACAGATTTCCTCCTAGTGATTGGGAAACATGTTGATGGCTCCAGATAGTCACAGGTTTAAATCTTTAAAGGAAGGGGGACTTTGGACTGCAAACCTTTGTTTATGAAATTTGATTGGCCTTGCTTGCACTGGGAGCTTTTCTGAACTGACTGCTGTGCTCGAGGAAATGTAGTTCTCTAAATGTCCAGTTTAGAGTCACTTTGGAGATGGTACAACTATGATCAATCGATCAGCTCACCATGACCACTTTGAGTGGGGAAGGAAAAAGGGGATACTGTAATTGGAAGGGGGGAATGAATGCTTAGCTGGTAAAAACAAGTCCGTAATATAAAGAGCTTAGCATGGTTCTTGGAACATAGTAAGAACTCAGCAGATGTTAGACATGGTTATCATTAGATTGTAGGATTGTTATTATATATTATAGGAGACTATAAGAATATTTTCTTGGGAATTCCTTAGTGGTCCAGTGGCTAAGATGCCTGCTTTCACTGTCAAGGACCTGGGTTCAACCCCTGGTTGGGGAACTAAGGTCCTATAAGCTGC